TTTAAGTGAAGGCGGTCAGCACATCCCAGCGCAGGTGCGCGTGGATCAAAAGAAGGAGGCTCTTATGTTCTGAGATAGGTGTGCACTGATCTCCACTGGGGAGCCGGGCGCAATGACAGTCTCGGGGGTCGCATTCCCAACACGGGGTCCCTGTTACCTTGAGAGAAGGTCCACAGTTTAATAAAGAAACACCTAATTATGGGCATCTGAAGGAATGAACTCCAAGTAAGGCTCTGGGAATGCTCGGGGCAGAAGCATCTATCAGAGGAAGGCACGACTCTCAAAGGAAGAGGGGCCAGGGTCAGCTGGATGAACTTCTCCAGTGCTGACTTGCTCCCAGGCTGCTCGGACTGGCCAGGACACCCAGGTTTGGAAAAGACTCAGAGTGGGAAGAGAGATGATAGGGGAAGATGCTCCCTAAGGAACAGGAGGACCCAGAGAAAGGAACTCAAAATGTGCTCCTGCTGCAAGCATGCTGTCCCTGCTTCTCTTGCCTTTCCCTGAAGACACAGAGGCGTCTGCTTCAGGCTTGACTCACTCTGTCACCAGGCGCCGGTAGGGGAGGATTTGGGCAGCGTGCTGACTGCTCCCGTGTCTTCGCATCCTGCAAACAGCAAGCGCACTCTAGTAGGGTGTCAGCTGCCAGGATGCGCCGACCGCAGATCCGGGGGACTGGAAACTCAACGCCACACGATTTGGTGTGCGCAGACCAGGTGCAAGGTGCGCTCCCAGGTCAGGGGGTTTGCAGACAGGTGGCTTCAGGACCATATAAGCCCGCAGGTCTTTTGGAGGTTCTGGGCTTTGGGAAGACAGTGCTCCATCGAAACAGCTGTGTTGTTGACAGTTTTCCTAACAAGTGCTCTTCCATAATCGTACGCGGAAGAGGCCATTTCGCCAGGGGAGGAAGAAGGAGGGTCTTACGTTTCTGAGACTCTCAGGTTGGGTTCATCAGCAGCGGACAGTAAGACGAGGATTCATTCGCAAGCCAATGATTAAGGAAGTGGTTTTCCCCACCTCCCACCCAGGGGACAAACGGGTAAGGGAGAAGGAGAGAGGAAGATAGAGCACATTGCAGGAAGAAGCCAAGGGAAGGCATAATTTCAAAGTCCCAGACTCTAGCCTGACCCAGCTCTGAGTCGAGCTGTGGACATTACAATTCAGAATTGTCTCCAACGGGGAAAACGAAGGGGGCCTTCCGGACCCAAAACCAACCGCCCCTGGCAAAAAAGAACCCAAGAAAAACAAAAACTCCAAGCCCCTCCCCAAACCCGCAAAAACGGGCCCAAAGAACCCAAAAACCCCAAGGCCCAGCAAGAAAATAAAACCAAACCCAACAACAAGGAACGAAATGAGGTCCTCCAAAAACCAAGGGAAAACCCAAAACCCCAACAGGCCCCCGGTTGGAAAAAAGCCCCTAAGGAAGGAAACAAAGGTAAAAAAAGGCAAAAAGGGAAAGCCCCAAACCCAGCCCAACGGGAAGAAGAAAAAAAAACAAAGAGTCTTTCTGTCCACACAGAGGAAAGCGGTGAGGACGCGGCAGGAAGGTGGCCACCCACAAGGCAGCGAGAGAGGGCTCGCCAGGAACTAACCGTGGCCACGCCTCGATCTTAGACTTCCCGGTTCGACTGTGAGAAAACAAATGTCTGTTATCTAAGCCGCCAGTCTGTGCTGTTCCGTCACTGCAGCCCTAGCTGGCTCGTACCTGCCCGGGTGACCAGAGCAGTGGAGCGGATGTGAAAGGGCCACCTGGGTGGAGCGGCGTCCACCGCACTGGGTGCTGCCTTGGGCGCATTTCCCGACATGACGAGAGTAAGCCTGAACGACGCTTGTTCTTTAAGGCGGAACTTCTAGGTCTGAATCCACCTCCCCTCTTACGGAGTGGGCTGGAAAAACGTACGTGTCTCAGCTTCCTCCCGCGGCAGACTGAGAGCACAGCTGACTGCGTCTACCTCGAACGGCTGTTCGGAGCACGAGGTGTGTGTAGGTACACAGTGCATCTGGGCGCGAGCCGGGCACGGGTGAACACGGCCTGTCTGAACCGCGATCATCCTCTCCTCATCCGCTCGGCCGTCGCCGTTCCTCACACGCTAACACCACGTGGTTCCTCACACACCGCGTGCCGAGTTTGCACCGGGACAGTCTTCAAATATCTCCCTCTCAGACTCCCTGATGAGACCCCTGTGGCCATGTCACCTTATGAGGCGAAGCGACTTGCAGGGGTGATTAATTAGCGATCTTGAGACGGGAAGATGATTCGAGTGGGCTCCACGTGACCCAGGGTCCTCATATAGCTGACGGATACACCAGGTTTTCAGACGAAAACACGTTCACAAACCAAGTCGATTATTCACAAGCGAAGGGGCCACAGGCAAGGCAAGAGGGAGGAGCGCAGACTGCGGCCGGCCGGGGATTCTGTGGGTCCCGTATGCACACATTCTCTCACACGCCATGTGTTTCCAAACAAATGATGAAGGCCTGCTGTTTGAAGCCACTATGCTTGCAGTAACTCGTTACAGCAGCAACAGGAAACTCGAACAAAGATACAGGCGATGCCAAACTCGCAGAACACAGAACTAAAGCAGCGGTTCCCACGTTATAAAAAATTCCTTTCTTCACCTTCGTTTGCTTTAAAGCAGCGCTTCCCAGAGACCTGCTGGTGGCCCCGGGGGGATGGTGAGCGGTAACCAGACGACCGTTTACAATAACACTTACAGTTTTGTACTCACTGTCATGCACCTTAAAAAACAATAACACATATTCGATGTATAATTTCAAGGATATTAGTACTAAAAGTGAAGGTGAACATTTTAAGTATCAAAGCAATTTATAGCAGACTTAAAAAAACTCTTAGGTGTGTAGTGGTCCAAGGGGAACATGGGGCCGGCTGTTCTGAGGCTCTCAGTGGTGCTGCCCACTTTCCAAGCCGATCCTGCGTCCTCTCAGCAATAGCCTTTGGATAAATTCCTCTTCTGCTTAAATAAGACGGGACCATCCCTTTGTGGTGCATCTAAGCACATTCGCTGGTATAGACAGTAATATAGAGTCTCCCTTTTCATCGACTGACTTAAGTTAAATAAAAAAGGCAAATCAATCGGAAGATTAGGGCAGGTGATACGTATCCGAGGGAACGACAGTTTGGACGGTGGGGCTGCCATCTTGGTCCCCCCATTGCGCGGCCCCTTCCCCGTATAAGCTCTCCCCATCTCATGGGTCTAACTAAGCGTTTGCAATGCCTCTTTCTCTACTTCTGCCCGTTCAATTCTCCCCTCCGGTCCGCCCTCTCCCGAAACATTCAAAAAGGTCAGCTGAGGAATCTCGTGTATGATGTTTACCGTAGACGCGGCCAGCACGACCAGGATCAAAGCGGTGCTTCTAGAAGCCTCAGAACAAACAGGGTGGCCACCAGGACTCTGCAGAACTCGAGACCACAGGGCTAATCTCCCTCACTTTCATTCTCATTCAGGTTCCGACTGAAGAACTATTTGCGTACATAAGTTCACCCTCCGTTAATTAACACATTCACGTTTATTTACATAATCAATGCTAATCGTATGGGTTAATTAGATTTTATATGCATTTGATTCAGGAGATTTCATTTGGCCTCTGATCTCCAGCTTATAACAAGAGACCCATAAACACGTTTTTTTTTTTCTGGCCATTTTTTCACAAGTTCAAAGATTTAGACACCCAACCCTGACCCTGCAACCTTACCCGCAAGATGCACTGAAAATCCTTCTTGGGGTAATGAGGGTGAGGCTTGGTGTTTGAGTCAGTAAGTTGTTCAGGACATTAGATTTTTTTCTTTTTTTTTTTTTTTGGTTACGTATTGAAGGAAGGACTGAAAAGGGGGTTCTCTGGGCAAAAGAACAGGGTATTTCTAAACAGAGAAGAGAATTCGCAGAATTTTTCATGGCAGCCTTGTAGCATTTGCTGAAGAAAATGTGTCCAACAAATGGAACGTTTCTTCCCTTAATACTAATCCCTTCAGGAAAACACACTGACAGAATATACCAAGAGCCCTGGAAAATAATTTTGCTTTTTCATTCTCAGAAGTTACCCTAAGGAATAAAAGAAGTGGGCAAAGATTGATGTGGAAGGTGGTTTACTGTTGTATTATCTGTACGAATATAACTTGGGAGCAGCCTAAACGTTCAAAAATACAGATATGGCTATTTATATTGTGCTCAATCCACCTGATGGAATGTTATAAAGTTATTAAAATGTTTTTGGGAATATTCAATGTCAAGAGAAACTGTTTCCAATATAAGTGAAAATAAAAGAGTCCTAGAAATCTGGATGTATGTGACAATACCAAATTTGTAAAATAAATGATCTACTATACATTTATTTACTATATTCATTATATATCAGTATTCCATATGCATAAAATCCTGAAATGAAATAAACCGATATGTTTGCCATGGGTTACCTTTGAGTCGTAAGGACACTGGTATATGATCTAAGTTTTTCCCCTTCATGTAACTGTTTTCCAAGTATTCTAAAATGAGTGTAGATTGCCTTTATAACCAGAAAACAATCATTTCAAATAATCATCCAGGATGTCCATAGGGACTCTCACATAGCACGTTTCTGACCTTAACCCTAACCCATTATCACCCCGTCTCTCACCTCCTTTCTTCAAATTTCTTCTCACTGACAACCAAACCTAGCCCTTTATGCAAACATGAGCGCTTTGTAACAAAGTTTCTTCCCATTATCTATGGAGGGCAAAGCCCCCGGTAAATAAACTCAGCTGCAGAGAACACACGAGCCTTGGCAGAGCAGAGGTGACGTCACACTGCCCCAGAGCCCGTGACCACGGGACCGCCCTGCCCTGCTGTGCGTGGCCAGATGGGACCGCCCCTGGGGCAAGAGCCTCCAGATTTCCAGGCTGTGGGTTTAACAGCTCCGCTACGCGGCGATTAGTGTGAGTCTAAGTGCAGCCTCTTAGGCAGTGACGGGCCCCGCAGCCGCAGGTGCCGGGGGACAGGCCCACTTACCTGTTGCGCGCGCTCGGCCCCAGGCGCTGGCAGGCCACGGTGGCGGTGACGTGCTTCCCGCCGCTGCCCAGCTCCTGCTGGACGCCCCACTGCCGCGGCTCGCTGGTCTGAGCGCTCAGAATGTTCACGCCCTTCTTCACCTTGGCTCTGCGGGGATGAAGACGGGCGAGAGAGAGCCACAGGGTTAGCGACTCGGCCTTCCCCACGTGCCCGAGCTCCGCCAAGCTACCTCCGTTACTTGCTTTTTCGCTTTTGCACTTTTGTCATATCTGGTGACGGGCGAACAAGGCGCACCGGAGGGTGGCAATGCCGACACCGGGGCGGATGGGAGTGGGATTTGCCACCAAACTTGCTGTCCCGGTCAGAGGGCGAGAACAAGGGGCCCCCGGGACAGTCCCCAGACCAAGAGGTCGCACAACAAAGTGGCTGAGGCCACGCGCTCTGCCTGCCTAGGTTAGCTGTTCTCCACCGGGGGCATCTGTGCCCTGCGGGGGACGTCTGGCAATGTCTGGAGGCACTTTTGTTTGTCACAACGGAGTGTGGAGTGCTGTCATCCAGTGGACAGTGGCTCTGGATGTGGCTAAACAGCCCCCACCACACAGAACGGGCCAGTCCAAAGTGTCCTAGTGCTAAGGGAGACAAACTCGGGTCTAGGTTTATACCCTAGTTTCACCACTTTCTCAGCTGTGCGACGTTGGGCAAACTTTAATTTCTCTGTGCCCCACTTCCCGCCACTGTAATGACAGTAATAGCCTCCATTATAGAGCTGTCGTAATGGATATAAAGAGATTGGAACAGTATCAGGCACATGATACACACTTAATAAATGTTAGCTAATGTTAAATTGCTCCAGGGATGCCCCCACCTGCTTAATGTAACTCACCTGGCACACACTCCAAAGGCGAATTAAGTCAAAGACCACTCAGCCTTTCTAAACTTCAGTTTTCTCATCGATAAACCGATGAGAGAAATGACAGATTGAGCATAGACATCTACCTATACTGTCTTCCCGAATCCCGCCTACAGGAGAGTAAAGGAAAACCGACTTCAAAGGCACAAACCCCTCATGGGGAGAGGAGCAGACCCTGGAAGCTGGAAAGCAGATGCACAGTGGGTGACACGAGTTAGCAGGTGACACGAGTTAGCAGAACACCGAAAGTCGTCAGCTGTCTGTGAGAGAAGCTGAGAACAAATGCCCCCGACTCTGGGATTGGGGTACCAGCCACCTCTACAAGTGGGAGTGGATGAGGACTCAAGTACAGATGCTTAGCTAGAAGCCTGTTTACGAAGCAGCCAGGTGCAGATGTACTTTGATTTCCAGGACTCCATCCCTGGCACCGGGCATCAGGGGGAGTTGAGAATTGGGGTACCGTACTGAACACAGAGGGACTACGTGACCCTATATATATATATATATATATATGTAAATGAACACCCAGGAGGGAGAAAAATAAGCCCTTGAAAATTAAAAATCTTACAGCAGAAATGGAAAGTCGGAGGAATGGTCGATGGATAAACTTGAGGAAATCTTCTAGGAAGAATAGAAAAGACAGAAGTAGAAGATAGGATAAAAGATAAACTCAGAGAATGACTTTGAGGTTCAACATGTAACTAAGAGGAAAAAAAAACAGAGAAAAGAAAGAGGTGGAATCATTAATGAACTAATTCAAGAAAATTTCCCCAAGTGAAAGGATATGAGTTTTCAGATTGGAAGAGCCCACTACGAGATCAACACAATAAATGAGAACAGACTTACACCGAACCACATGATTGACACATTTCAGAACACTGGGTACATCGAAGTGAGTTCTAAAATCCTCCAGAGAAGAAAAAACTATCAAGCAATCAGAATGGATTCAGAATTCATAACTGTCACTTTGGAAACTCAAAGACAATGAAAAACATCCTGAATATTCTAAGGTGAAATGATTTCCAACCTAGAATACTGTATCTGGTGTAATTATGAATTCAATGTTTCCACACGTGTGAGTTCTAAAATAATCCACCCCTTCCACCCATGCTTGAGAAACTACTTAAGGATGTGCTCCATCAAAGCAGAACAGAAACCCAGGAAGAAGACATGAGATAAGGGGAACAGAGGTCCAGTCCAGGGGAAAGGAACCACGGTTGATGTGAATAGAAGTCTCAGGATAGCAATAGAGCATGAGGCATAAGAATTCTGGCAAAGAAGTCTCCAGAAAACTGAAATTTTGCTAATAAATGTGAAATGAATGACTGTTTTGTGAGGACATTCAGACAACTAGTGGAGAATCTGGAAATAAATATGAGCTAAATCCACAGAAAATCAAGAAAAGAATAAAACCAAATTGGTTTTAATTCTGAAGATAATAACTCATTATGCAGAAAAGGAAAAATAATCATAATTTAATACTGGGTTTTACCGTAATTAGCATATGTATTTATATTTTAAGCACTCTGTACAAATCTAGACCCAATATTACTATCCTGGAAGGGTACACAGATAAAAAGGAGGGCACTTAGTGGGGGAGAAAAGAGAGACATATCCTGATTCTCCATAGTGGGAAACTTATAGATATTGCCTAAAACTCAAAAAAAACATTAAGAAATATCAACATCAATGTGCTACTTTATGATATGGATGTAAATAGCAGACGAGGACAGGATTTTGCCTCCATGCACGGAGAAAGACAGCAACAGGGGGCAGAGTACTACAGGATTATTTTAAATAACCTTGTATTTTTAGACAGTTTAACGATTTGAGAGTAACGAGAAGTTGCAAAAAAATAAATAAGTAAAATATGAGCTTCCCATGTACCTTTCACCCAGCTTCCTGCAAATGATAATGTCGTACACAATCATGGCTCACTGCCAAAGTCAGGAAATTGATATTGAATAATACTATTAACTCAATTATGTGAACTAAAATAAAATCTTAAGCCCCCCAGTAGACTGAATGGATCCCCTCTTGGCCACGAGGACCCCAAAAATACCCTAAAGCTGAGTTGCTGGCCATGGGAAGGGAGGTCAGTCATGCCGGCTCCCTTCTTGGAGATGTCCTCTGTGACTCATTACTAGGCCTAGGGCCATGCAGGACACAGCTCCAGCCACACCTGCAGGTCATCAGTTTACTCAACAGCTCACTGGAGTCTGAGTCTATGTCTGGTGGCTTGTCTCCGATTAACAGACATCCTTATCTTTTTTTTTTTTTGAGACAGAGTCTAACTCTGTTGCCTGGGCTAGAGTGCTGTGGCGTCAGCCTAGCTCACAGCAACCTCAAACTCCTGGGCTCAAGCGATCCTCCTGCCTCAGCCTCCCGAGTAGCTGGGACTACAAGCATGCGCCACCATGCCCGGCTAATATTTTTCTATATATTTTTAGTTGTCTGATTAATTTCTTTCTATTTTTAGTAGAGACGGGGTCTCGCTCTTGCTCAGGCTAGTTTCGAACTCCTGAGCTCAAACAATCCGCCCGCCTCGGCCTCCCAGAGAGCTAGGATTACAGGCGTGAGCCACCGCGCCCGGCCCAGACATCCTTAACTTAACTTAAATCATTCCAAGCCTTTAGACAAAGCTTCCTTTCTTTAACGAATCACAAATCAAAGAATCTTCACACCCACCTATAACCTGTAACACCCCTGCCTGGAGTTGTCCTGGCTTTTCGGGCCAAACCGATGTACACCTTCCATGTATTGATTTATGACTTTATGTGTAATTCCTGTCTCCCTGTAATGTATGAAACCAAGCTGTACCCAACCACAGCGAGACCACTTGCTCAAGGCTTCCTGTGCATGGCTCTCTGGGCCACGGTCACATATATTCAGCTCAGAATTATCCTCTTTCCATTGTTATACAGAGTTTGGGTTCTTTTCCATTGACAGGTACAGACCTTATTTAGATTTCATTTGTTTTCACATGAATTTTTTTTGTGTATAGTTCTATGAAATTATGTCACACGTGCAGAAGGGAACAACCATCACCACGATCGCCATGTGACATTGTTCCATCCCCACAAAGCACCTCTTTGTTCCTGGCCATAGCCACGCCCTCCCCCAACCCTAACTCCTGGCGAACGCTGATCTGTCCTCTCCCGTTACAATTTTGCCTCTTCCAGAATGTCAGATATAGTTTTTCGGTCAACGAATTCTGCAGGGCTATTTGACTTCTTAAATTATATGCAAGGTTATATCTTATGAAAGTAACAGCTTAACAATTACACACACACCCACACGCCCCTCTCCTGCTGACCTGCCAGAGCGCAGGAGGTAAATCCTTGTGAATGGTTAACAGGCAGACTCAGCTGAGAAACACGATGACCAAATGGTCACCAGGAGGGAACCAAGGGGGTGGGAGGTCGTGACAAACCACATCGTCACCTGCCAAATTAGGGTATGCAAATTAGCATCAACCTGCCCAGCAGCGAAAGTACATGAGCCATGCCAGCCACCTTCTCCCTTAGGAACTTCTTCTGAGTCTTGCATTAAAATGATTTGCTAAACACACTCAACACACTTGCTGCCAGGAACACAAGGAGGCCAGGGTGCTGGAGGGACAAAGATTAAAGACACAGTGGCCTGCAAAAGCCCCCACTGTTGTAGCAGGTAAAAGAAACACCCCGTCAGTCTTCACAGCCGGGGCACCCTCTACCTCTGCTGCGGGAAATGCCTCATGCGATGTGACTTTGCTTGAAATTGGCTTTTGCTGCATGTGGAATTTGCTCGAGATTCCACATTTTGCTGAAGCTACAAATTGTCCTTTCCACTTAAGAGTCTGTGCAGACAGAGGGATTCCCACCGGCGGTGCACTGGTTGGTTTCACCTCTGCGTGGGGTGGGAGGATAAACCACTGAGGCATAGGGTTTAAAAGGCTGATTTTGTTAATTAGACATTTTCTTTGATGAAAGCAATGGTTTTCCTACTTATTGCAAGGACCTGGTTATCGCAGGAGTTCGGGTCCCCAAACCGGAAGTTTTGCAACCAGAGTCAGCATTAAACAAACAGACACCAGTGGGATGGGGAGGTTAACCTTGAGGAATCCTGGCTTCAAGAGGAGGCTGCCCTTTCTCAGTGTGGCTGCGGGGAGGGGAGGCTTGAAGGCGGGTGGGCGGGGCGCAGACACCCCTTGGGAGGGTGATGCAGGTGTGTTTCTCTGTCACCATCTGCTGCATGC